GTTTGTAACTCGGGTAACGTTACGTCGGAAATGACGGTTTGTAACTCAGGTAATGTTACGTTGGAAATGACTAACTCTAGTAACGTTACGTCGGAAATGACGGTTTGGAACTCGGGTAATGTTACGTCGGAAATGACTGTTTGTAACTAGGGTAATTACATCGGAAATGACGGTTTGTAACTCTGGTAACGTTACGTCAGAAATGACGGTTTGTAACTCTGGTAACGTTACGTCAGAAATGACGGTTTGTAACTCGGATAACGTTACGTTGGAAATTATGGCTTGTAAATCGGGTAACGTTACGTCGGAAATGATGGTTTGTAACTCGGGTAAGGCTACGTCGGAAAAGTATCTCTGACTGAGGACGATGTAGCGAGGCTCAATGTAGTTCATAAATCTTCAGAATCCGACATCCTCACCAACGAAAAATAAAACGTCCACACCGCTGACATTTTGAATTTTTCTCTCCGCCATGAGATCAGGTAGGCGCACGTGACGTCATCACGTTGTTCTGCTGCTGCAGGTAAAAACAGTGCCTTTTATATCGGCGAGTTATTTTAATGGAATGGCCTATGTCCGATATTGAACTTTAACGCTAATATCGGCCGATACCAATACCATGCCGATAACATCGTGCATCCCTAGATATTTTTACAGTTTAAGAAAAATGTAAAGGCCAGATTCTTATAAATTACAATTAATAAAAACTATGAACTACGCAGACCTATTAATTTTTTTAAATTGTGGAAAAGTTAATTGAGTATAGAATTAAAGCATAAAGTTAAAGTGAGTATATTTTACTCCTTGCACTTGTTCCAGTAAAAGAAATGACAGGAAAACGGCTAAAACTAGTACTTTTTTCTTGTTTGTATAAACACCAATAAAATCCAATTTTATAGTAGTTTTGGTCAAAGCTTGAAAAAGGGGGAACCAAAGAGGTGGCTCGGGAGCCGCAAGTTGCAGACCCTTGGATTAAGATCTCTGTTCACAGACGTGAGAAGCTGCTGAAAACTTAATGCCTTAAACGTTTTTACATTCACCTACCGTGTTGTGCCAGGGCTCCTAATTGCACCCCCCACATCAGAGCCATGCGTAAATATCCACAGCAGTCCATGTCTGCAGCTCCGGAGTAAACGGCTCCCCTCAGTCTGCAGGTCCCATTGAACGTTCGAAGAAAAGCTGACGAAGTAGTGCAAACTTTTCTGTTAATTAGAGGAAAAGAGGCCGAAATTAGCAGTCTGCTCACTTGAAGATCAGTGCGTCTGTGTCGAGCGTACAAGATGAAAGAGCAGCAGCCGAGGAGGGAGGGGGCACATTTGTTCCTGTAGGTGGGTCTTTGGAGAGCCCCTCAACCATGGAGTGTCTGTAAACACCCCAAACGTCAGAGCTGGAGTCTCCATCACGGTTTGCTCCCGAGTACACGAGCTTTACGAACATCAGGGAGTGTTTACGCTCACAGCTGGAAACATGAAGTCACAAATCAGTGCGACGGATGAAAATAATGCCCGAAGAAAAGCGTCAGCTGATTCCTTCGGGCTTTTGAATCCTTTTTCACCAACTCTGATTTAAACCAAATAATCCCGTTAAGATCTTTCTTAAACCAAAAGGAATAAATCATGCATGTCTGTGCAGCTGTAGAGGCTTTGTTTTAAATAACTTCAGCTGTTGTGATGTTTTTATTCATGTAAACGTTGCATTGTTTTGTTTGATCTTAGCTGTTTTTGTTTCATAGCAGTTTTCCCAGGCGAAGTTGAACAGAAGCACTAAAAAAAAAAATCTGGAAATAAAAGCTCTAGCTTATTTTTCTGTAGGAATGCACATCACCCGCTGCTATTGATATAGCTGTGTTGGGTGGATTCTCAGCTACTACCACACCTGATATTTGTCTGAATGGTTATGAAGCGTTCACACTGTTGTGATCCATTTTTCAGCATCTTTCTCGTCCCACGGTTTTTGTGTTATTTCAACAAATCACAAATCAAAATGTTCAGCTCGTTCAGGAGAAAGGTGCTTTGACTTTTAGTTGTGGTGCAACTTTAGCTTTTTGAAATATTTAGCATTTTCTTCCATTTTCTTCCTCATGGAAAATGAACTGAACTCATTTTGCGTCCTTCAAATCTTTAGATCCGTTTACAACCTTTTACTGTTCCTTTCACATTTTGTTCTGCTTCAGCTTCTTTCAGCTTCTTTGTGCAAATTAAAAAAAATTTCAGCTACTTTCAGATGTTTCTTCGGCTGTTTTGTGCTTCTTCAAATTCCTTTCTGCTAATTTAAGATTGGCCTGCTCGGTTCAGTTTATGTATGCACGTTTCAGCTTTTTCTGCCATTTCAGCTACTATTTAGCAATTTTTGTTCTAAATGTAGCTTTTTCAGCTAACTCCACATTTTTTTGCAACAATTTCGTTTTTTCAGTGTAATTGAGCAAAAATGTGTTCTCTCTCTCTCCTTATGGTAATTCAAGCGTCTTTCTGCCTTTTTAGCTACTTTTCAGCTGTTTTTTTGTTGTTTACTTATTTCAGCTTTTTTTTAGATAATTTCCACTTTTTTTGTACTAATTTCTGCTTCTTTCATAAAACGTGTTCTTTCTGCTTTCTTCTGCTAGCTTAAGCTTGTTCCACTTTTTCAGCTACCTGTTTTTTTAGTTTTTTTTTTTTTAGCAAATTTGAGCTATTTTCAGATAAATTCAAGTTTCTTAGTAATTTCTGCTATTTTCAGACTAGTTAACGTCTTTCTGCTAATTTCAGCTTGTTATGCTCCTTTCAATTTTTTTCTGTTAGTTTCAGCTTTTTCTGCTATTTCAGCTACCATTTAGCTGTTTTTGTGCTAAATTCAGCTTTTTCAGCCAATTCCACATTTTTTTAGCTTATTTCAGCTCCTTCCACTTCCTTCAGGTAGTTTGAGCTTCTTTCTGCTTTTTTAGCTACTTTTCAACTTTTTTTGTTGTTGTTTGCCTATTTAGTCTTTTTTTTTTGGTTTAGATAAGTTTCACTTTTTTGTGCTAATTTCTGCTTGTTTCATGTTCTTTCTGCTTTCTTCTGCTAGTTTAAGCTTGCTCCACCCATTTTCAGCTACCTATATTTAGTATTTTTAGCTAATTTCAGCTGTTTTCAGATAAATTAGTTTTCTTGGTCATTTCTGCTACCTTCAGCCTAATTAACTCTTTTCTGCTAATTTCAGCATGTTGTGCTCCTTTCAGATTTTTTCTGTTAGTTTCAGCTTTTTCTGCCATTTCAGCTACTATTTAGCTGTTTTTGTGCTAAATTCAGCTTTTTCAGCCAATTCCACATTTTTTAGCTCATTTCAGCTCCTTCCACTTCCTTCAGGTAGTTTAAGTTTCTTTCAGCATTTTCAACTACTTTTCAGCTGTTTATTTGGCAAAATTCAGCTTTTTTTTTTAGCTAGTTTACTAATTTTTGTGCTAATTTCTGCTTATTTAAACCTAAATCAGCAAATACTTGTCCTTTCTGCTTTCTTCAGCTAGCTTAGGTGTGTTTTTCCATTTCAGCTATAGTTCAGCATGTTTTTTTTTAGGTAATTTCAGCTGTTTTTCAGCAAATTCTTCAGCAATAAGCATTCACACTGCATTTTCACAGGAAATGCAATTTCTGTACTTAATGATTGAATTAGAGATTTTTTTTATGTTGTCTGCGGTGGTGTTGAACTGATCCGTCTGTTCATGCACTGGTTCATGAAATGTTATGCTAACAAACGTCATTCAATCACTGGTCTTTCATGAGAGCAGCGCATAAGAAGCATTAAAAGATTATTTGTTTATGTTTTGGCCATACTTGTAAAAAAAACGTTCATCAGCAACAATTTTGACTTTTGAGCCAAAATATTTGTATCCATCATTAATGAATCCAGAGCTGCTCGTCTTGTGACTGATGTCCCTGCAGGGGGGCGTTAACCTACAGAGCTGAAACCAAGAAGGTCAGTCTCCTGACTCTGGAGTAAATATCAGGTGCTGGAGGCCTCGGAGAAACAAAACGACATACCTTTCCACTAAATAAAGAGCCGAGTGGAGCTGCAGGTGTTCTGAACTCACCTTTTTGTTAAGACTGCACTTTAACTCTGAGAAAATCTCACAGCGTTAATTTTTCAGATGTTGCCAAATGTTCACCGTTGTAGCAGCAAGAAACACTGAAACGTTCTTTAGGTCGTTTTAATGAGAACCTTCATACTTATGACTAAAAACAACTGGTCAGTTTTTGAAAATATCAAACTATTACAAACTATTACTGTTACAAACTATTTTAAGTGATAATTTTACTAAAAGTGATGAGAAACTTTACAAAGAATAGAAAATGTTAGCCAATATTCCGAGAAACTAAACCCACATTTGAGAAAATATATATTTTATTTGTACAATTTGACTAAGTTTCTAAAAACAACATTTTCTCAAATGAAAACGTATATATTTTTAAAAAGTTTACTTTAAAATTATTCAATTTTCAAAAAAAATAAGTGTAAAAATGAAATGATTGAGTCTTTTTTTCTCTGGACAACAAAAATGTCTAATTTCTCATTTTAAATGAATATAGGTAATTATAAAAAGTTAAACATATACTACTACTACAATCTTCTATAAAGTATTTCGTCTAAATTTTCTTGTTTTTTGTTTTTTTACACAGAATTGTTGACTGCAAAATGTCCTAAATAACTGAGATTTTTATGAACGTGAACCAGTGGATGATTTTAGTGAAACTCATTAGAAGTTTGTCTCCTACTGATAAAGTTCTGATTCATCCAAAATCAAGATGGCTTCCACAGCTAACTGGCCTTAGCCAACACAAAAATGGTGGTGAAAATATTTCCAGACAAATTGTGCCTGCTATTGACTTATTTGAGATGTTAACACAAATTAACTGATCGTCTGAGTCAGGATTTCAGGCTTTTGTCTGATTTAGTTATTTTTCCTGCACGTTTTGTGCACCGGTTGTTTTGTTTCTGTAGAGATTCCTCATCTTTTAACAAGAGTTTTGTCTCGTATCTCTTTGATGCTGATCTTTTTTAGCAGTCAGCTCTATATTTTTGTAGTTATGTTTTTTTGCACTTCCGTGAACAAATACTTGCCGTGTTCCCCCTACCATTATACAAACCCCGTCAACATAACCTAGCGCCCTGTCCACTGAACCCCACCCCGCATGCCCTGTCTATTGACACCCCACCCCCAGTCCACAATGGTCTATAAATATGTAGCGCGGGGCGCAATACAAACGCGCTAGCAAAAATGCTACTGACGTACTGCATCCCCCACCCGTCGACAATTACCAGCAGCAACATAGAGCTAAGCTAGCTGGCGGGCTACACACATGACTGCCCCCTCCCCGTCGTTTATAAAAGTTGGCAGAAACATAGTGCTAAGCTATCAGGCGGGCAACACAGATGTGACTCCGTCCCCCCATCTCCCCGTCGACAATTACTGGCAGCAACTTAGTGCTAAACTAGCGGGTGGGCAACACACACATGATTGCAACACCCCCCCATTCCCATTGTTGATCAAAACCAGCAGCCACATAGTGCTAAGCTAACAAGCAGGTAACTCTGATGTGACTCTGCCCCCATCTCCCCATTGACCGGCAGCAACGCAACGTAGTGCTAAGCTAGCAGGTGGGCAACAAACACGTGACTACAACCCCTCACCTGTCATGGATAAAAAACAGCAGCAACGTAGCAACACACAAATACCTAAGCTAGCAGGCGGGCAACACAGGCGTGATTCATCAATAAAAACCGGCAGCAACATAGTGCTAAGCTAGCAGGTGGGCAACACGGACATGACTAATTGATAAAAAAAACTGCACTGACATAGCGCTAACACACACGAGTGCAACTCCCTGCCTGTCATTGCTAAAAATCAGCAGAGACATAGCGCTAAGCTAGCTGGCGGGCAACACAGACATGACTCCATCCCCATCCCCCGTTGATAATTACCGGCAGCAATGTAGTGCTAAGCTAGTGTGCGAGCAACACACACGTGACTCGTCAATAAAAACCTGCAACAATGTAGTGCTAAGCTAGCAGGCGGGCAACACAGATGTGACTTGTCAATAAAAATGGGCAGCAGTGTAGCGCTAAACTAGGAGGCGGGCAATACAGACATGACTCATTGATTAAAAACCAGCAGCGACGTAGTGCTAAGCTAGCAGGCAGGCAACTCAGATGTGACTCCGCCCCCCAATCCCCCAATGACCGACAGCAACGTAGTGCTAAGCTAGCAGGCGGGCAACACACACGTGAGTGCGACCCCCACCTGTCATCGATAAAAACCGGCAGCAGCATAGCGCTAAGCTAGCAGGAGGGCAACACAGACGTGATTCGTCGATAAAAACGAGCAGCGACGTAGCACTATGCTAGCAGGCGGGCAACACAGACGTGACTCCATCCCCATCCCCGCTTGACAATTACAGTAATGTAATGCAATGACAGTAATGTAG